GCCAGGTTTTTTGAAGCTTCCTTTGCCCATTAAAAATGTTCCTAACAATCAATTGGTGTTAATAAAACAGTTAGTCCAAGCGAGTTGATATTGTAAGTTTCAGCAGCCGATTTACCTAAAAGAACATGCAAAACGGGATAACATTTAGTGTCCGAGCATATCCGTCATATCTAATCCGATAGAAGGAAAATAAAACGAGCTCCGTACGTGTAACAGTCGACAATAACAAACGTCCGGCGTGTCATTTACCTTTCTTCGATTCGATTTCGACCGAAGGCTTAGATAAAAGCTACCGGTTTAAGGCACCTAGTACTCGGGATAAATTGGAACTTCCTTTTCAATACCAATAAAACTATAAAGGGTAATTGAAGCTCGTCGAGGAAAAAACGAATCTTCGAGGTGATGGAAACGCTACTGTATCTGTACCGGGCCCGTTCTTTTCTACAGCGTTTGATGAGCTTCTTTCGCTTAAGCGATTTAGCATTAATTACTTGGATATCTATTATGTATAATTTATGTTACATCGAATACCTGTGGCTGGTTGCACACTGACCGCAAGAATGCAGGTTTTACAACGCATTATTGATAACCAGTAATGTGTACAAGAGCCATTTATAGTGTATAAATAAACGAATATTGAAATAGTTTTTTAAACCGTCAATATATCCTGACCCTGCGAGCATTTAACTGCGGAAAAATGCTCTTTTAATCATAGACTATTATTAATATAGGCATAACGTGTTATTAAAATAGTGGAATATAATATAATAGAATATTAGTCATAATGATCTCTTTGAATAATCAATATTTTTATACGACCTTCAAGGCTAATAGGTTGGCACGATGGGGAGTTGTTATATCGAATATTTTGGTATATCTCAACAGGATTTTCAACAGGATGGTATACTTTTTTAATTACTTACAAATAAAAAATATTACAGTACAAACGAGCATTATTAAATTGTAGTTAATAACTAGCCCTGTTACCTGTCGTTATAAACGATTAGAAAAGTTCTTCGAACGCTCGTTTCTGCCAGTTCTTGCAGTGATTAATCGCGTGTAAAAAGGCACAATCGCCGCGAATTTTCCTAGAACCAGCGATTGACTGTAACTATAGAAAGGCCGCTCGAACCGTTCCTATTCCTATTACATTTTTTCTCCTTTCAGTACAGGATGAAAGAAGAAAAAAAACCGAGCGGTATAAAAATAATTTGAAGGCTCGTTTGGACTCTAGAGACCTTGATACACATCGGTAAGAGGCGGTGTGTTTCATTGCTTCGGCTATTTATCCCATATCCTAATTAAACCAAAGCACTTGTATTGTAATTATAGAACGCATTTTTGTTTAATTCTTTTCGATACTTTCGCGTTCTAAATCTGAATGAAGCATCACCTCGTACCGGTTGCATATTCGAGCGTTTTTTCTGTTTCTAGGTTATATTCCTATTTTAGTGAATACAAAAGCGCATACAATTGCTGCAATAAATATACAATAAATCCGCATTTAGTAAAATTCATGCTATGTCGTACCGTACTGGGAAACTGCTTTATAATTATAATATAGTCCGGTAAACGCACGCTTAAATCTAGACTATAGAAATGTAATAAATTAATACCTTAATAAATAAGCGAAAATAATGGATGTATTTCAATTCTACAAACTGAGAAATTTTTGGAAATACTATGTGTGTGTAATATCTTTAGTGAATGTGTTTAATCTATCAAAACTATAAAATTTACAAGAGAAGAGTGTTAAAAAGTTCAAGAGGAAATTCTTAGAGTAGAGAGTATAAGAGAGTAGAAAGAAGAAAGTAGAAAGAAGAGAGTATAGAGTTCTCTACAGTAGAAGTAGAGTGTAGATAATAGAGACTATAGTCTACCATTTCTCTAGAGTAGAAGTAGAGTGTAGATAATAGAGACTATAGTCTACCATTTCTCTAGACAGAAGTAGAGACTAGAGTAGTGCGGGAATCATTATACTTAATTTTTTGGTGCGGAATTTCGGAAACGGTTTAAAATTCCGGTGCCCCATGTGGGATAACGAGGAATACTTAATTGAATACATTAAAATACGATTAAATAAATATTTTGAAGCGCATTTACCGTGCTAACGTACGGAGTACCATTATAAATAATAGCAGTAGTTGCCGCGTAAGTCGCACATTGACAGATATTAATCGGTACCGTTTTTGTGGAATGCCTTTACAAAGCATTTCGCACAAGAAAATAGACAATAGGAAGTCCGATCATTTGTCTACATTCAACGTTCTCCGTTGCGTTGAGATTTATTCGCGTACAGGCGTTGTTGTGTTGCTTGTACAGTCACTTTTCATCTGCTTCTGGATAAAAGCCATACCTTAATAGTATTTTCCACTCCACACAGTTTCTACCAGAGCTTATTTTTTTTCTAATAAATAAAGCGCATTTGTACATAACAAATCTGTGGATTGATGCCATCACTTGGATTTTACAAATTTTACAGGAGAGCTCTTTTAAATTTGGATTACTATCAAAATTCTTTAGTTAGTAGATTTTGGTGCTTAAATGTTAAAGTTGTACTGTTATATTCTATTCTATTATGGTATAGTTCTCCAATTTTGTCATAAAATCCACATATCAAGTTAATGGCATCTAATCCACAGAAATAATCGTTGCAATTGTCCTACGGTTTGGAGGGAACATGAAGATGGAAACGACGAATATGAAAGCATTAGAAAATCGAATTTCTCGAGTTTATGCAAATGGCTATAGCGTAATGCGATAAAAATGAAAATTTCTTCCCATTTCTTCAATGAGATCGTATCTGTTCGTACGTGACGAGAGATCATGCTCGCTTCAAAAGTTATTGACAAACACGCCAAGTCTACGCGTCTACCGAAGAATAAAATCCGATCGGGCTCCTCGTCTTGCGGGAGATAAAGGAAGCACGATTTTACGTGTATTCGAACCGTCAACGGGACGTGAATCGTCAATTTACAGAGGGACAGGTTACACGTCGACGATTGACAGTGCACGAGAGAAGAATCCGCTGGATTTTTCCTATCGAAATCGTCGGATATCTGTCGGCGTTCGGGTCCGAATCCTCCTCCTATCGCCTCGGTTTATATATCGTTTATTTCGCCCTCGTTTTTAATCGTTCCGTGTGAATATCGATCGTGATATCTTTTGCTCGGAAAGTCACGCGCTAGCATTGGCTCGAACCAATTATTTAACTGCATTTTACGAAATGTTTCCTCTCCGACGAAGGTTGAGATTTTCTCAGAGATGTATCGAGTCGATTTATATTAAAATATTGCTGAAATTACGTTCATTAGGCAACGCATTTTGCCTCGATATCCGACTGAAATGTACATCACGAGGAATTTCTGGAACCAACCAATTTAAACACTCGTCAAATATGATGATTGAAATACATTTATTTCAACGGTTTTGAGTACCTACAAGTTACTTTCTATCCAGTATACCAAAACCCAGCAATCTCTTCAAAATTTCCAATTAATTTACACTCATTACTAGTGAAATTAGGCATTTCGGGTGTTGCTCAACCGAGTCCTGAGAAAAAGCCAACCTTAACCGAATCGTTGCTCGCGTGAAAGACCATCAGAGTGAAAGAAGTTTCGTGAAATAAATCTCTAGCGTGGTGAGTGTGTATGTGGTATGAAAGAGCAAAGGAGCACGCAGAGAGCTAGTTCAATATCGTGGGAACCATCGCCATCGCCTACTATATGTTGTTTGCGCGTCGAAACTCCCGGTCTTACGCACACACACACCATGCATACAACTGGAGAGTGGAGAGTAGTACAGGCGGTACGGCCATATAAAGGGACGGCGCGTTAGAATTGGCAAAAAAATATAGGCGATTAAGTCGAGTTAATGGAAGCGAAGATGACCGTAATTTACAAGAATAATCGTTGAAAGAAGGCCGTTTAGTGTGGAATACAAGTGTTTAATCGTTTCGAGAAATTCACTTTTATTATCTATTATTCAGCTCTACCATGAAAGAGTTCCCTTTTTCTCTTCTGCTACAAACTGGATATAAATATTATACATCATCTTACTTGGTGATACTCTACGGAACTTTCTTTAGTCCTAATAAACATATCTAACCTATCCTCAGAGTATATCCGATAATTTCAATGCAAAGTATAGTAAACACTAGCTTATTACTATAATGAAAGCGGCTGGAAGAAGAAGAAGAAGAAGAGTGTGAAATTCGCTCAGCTATCTCCGGCACTAATCGAAAGACGGAATAATGCTAGTCGTGAGTAATGATCCAAACGAATAATGTTTACTGGGCAGTCATTAATCTATGAATAATGGCCGAGAGAAATGAGAAGTAATGTATTTCGCGTTTGCGAGAATAATCGCGAATATAGCGGGAGATTTCACGCTGCGCAACGATATTGGTACAGAGATTGATGAAGCGCCATCTAGGGCAGTTTTTCCAATAGATTTACTTCGATATTTATTGTTTAATTAAGGAATTTTGTACTTATTTTAAGAACATCATACTCGTTATACACAGCGTGAGTCATGGTGGAACTGTATAATATACTTTAAAACAGTGGATAAAGACACTTAAGGGTTAGGTATATCAAATAACCATTAAAAGTTACATCCTCTTCTTCTTTAAAGAAATAAAGTTATGAGGCATAACTCACCCTGTATTTCATCTATCAATATCTTCTATTTTGTGTCTACTCGTATTTGCTTATATTCTGCTTGTAGAACATTAAATGTACACCAACAAATCACACAAGTAAATGAATAAGGCTAATTAATCTGCCGTAATGATTTCGAGCGCGAGCTTTGTCCTGACCGCAATTACTGTAAGCTTCAATAGCTCGTTATATTTCAATTTAATGCCTGAAACTTGCGACAGTAGTTGCTTAACCTTCGTCTCAAGTTGTTCGTCTTTCTAAGCGCATAATAGAAGAATAAATGATTTTTACGAGGCATTGCTAATACAAAATAAGATTATTTTTATATTCTGCACTTACCAGGCGGTTGGTGGATTTGCAAGGGTGGTGCGGGATTTTTCAACTTCTTCGGAAATTTCGGTACTTGAAGAACTACGGGCGTCTTTACGCTGAGATCGACCGGTTCTATTTGAACAGGAGGTCCTTCAGCCTGGAAAAGAAAAGAATTTATTATTCTCTCATTCGTATGTAATACAATCGACAAAAGCTAATTTTCGTGTCAATGCTGTAACGTATTTGTTTTGCATGCGGATTCATTAATATTCATATGCAAGTTTTATTGAACGTTTCACTTTTTCGTTATTTACTCGCTCGGAATCGATACGAGTATATTTCAGTTTCTATGATTATCAAATACGCCCATATACGGCGTTATGTAATTTGTTTATAGTAATTGAATTACAAAATATGCGACAGGCCAATTTACTTTCCGGTTTTATAATTTCCAATTTTATGTGGCGTGAAAAGGAAGCTTTAATTCAACTAAAAATGCATTAAAATGTTTCACAAAAAATATTATAAATTATTCGTTTAGAAATGTTTACAAACTAGTTCATTTAAGCAATAATATTTTGCAGTAAAGCTGATGCTGATGCCTATTCAAATGAAGAGGTAGATAAAAAGCGATTGGATACCGTGCGAGCATCCTCTTTATTAGTACAAAAATAAACTCAATTACTATACAGCATGTTAAACTAAATGTGCTTTTTACATATTCCGGTTAATCCTGCAGCGGTATAAAAGGTTAAATGCATTTTATGTTGATTGTAAAAGCACGCATTCGATGTTGCAAACACACAGTTTAATAAGTAACAAGCAATTTTCTTCATCTTCTATTACATTGGATAGATAATTAGTATGCCGATGTTCCGTAACACATCTATTATTGCTCATTAAAATCGATAAAAACTCTAAATTTGTATCAAGAACGCCCTTTACCTAATATGTTTCTAATAACTCAACTTATAAATTACATGTTGTATGTTTCACATAGGCGGTAAATTTATATTCTACCATAAAAAATGTTTTTAAAACTTATAGGTAGGTACATAGGGGAAATATTTGGTAAAATTTATAATTACAAACTACATTGGAGACTATAAAGAAGAGATTTCTCTCGCGCAAATTCTTCTATTTTCAATTAAATTTACTTAACTTTAAAAGATTATAAATTTTAATAACCCGTTATTGAAAATTGAATTACAAGACGTTCTTATCAAAACAGATACTTAACGTATACCTCAACTAATAAGTAATATTGCAAAGGTGAAAATGAGGAGAGGAATTCGAGCCGGTTCTGAACAAAATTCGTCCTTACAGTACATCTGCGTTAAATTTATACTTATGGTGGTCTCGGCGCGAAGCCGTTGGCAACTCACTGGTAGATTAGATGTCTCAGCTAAAATGCCATTAATTCGGTTTCATGGCGTATAATTTCTCTTGATAGCTAGGAAGTTGATGTCGATGGGTGTTTTTTCTGCCGATTTGCAGGCATATCTAACTGTATAAATTTTATAATATAGAAAACCGCGTTAACGGAAAATCGTAACCGACGCGAAAAGTTTTATTTATATTTTGCAGTATCAATTGCGCAACGAATTAATGTAATAGGTGGGTTTTTTGTTAAATTGGAGATGGATGTTTCTTTTTTAATAGAAGAATATTGAAGAAAAAATGGGTACCTATTCGTTTAACTTATCGACCTCGACCTACCTCAACTCAATGTGCAAAAACCATCAACATTCCAATTCCAGTAACTGACCATTGGATACCATCTTCGTTTACCCGGGTATTATAAGCGACAAGCACCGGTGAACTCGATGAGGAATCGAAAGGGACAAAATAAGCACTTTTTAGTATCTATTTCAAAAATTATAGTAGAACTCCTTTCATAAATATAGCTCCAGTAAGGTTGCAATTTGAATTGCTTGATACATTATAAGAAACTTTTTTGGAACGCTATAAAATTGGATATAGCCTCGCTAGAAACGTGTAATTTTGATCAGGCATAGCCTCAAGTTTTGTTTTGACATCCACCAAATAGCACCATCCTAACTCAACACTAAGGGGTTGAACAACCCCTTCGAATGAGACCCCACAGAAAAGTTTGGTTTTTGTGCATTGTCTCGTTTTTTTGAAGCATTGTAAAATTGGATTATAGTCTCGCTAGAAACGTAAAATTCTCAGCAATAATAACATCTTATAATGTCTTAGGGTCCACCAAGTAGCACCACCCCTGCTCAACTTTAAAGGGTCGAACTACCCCTTGGAATGAAACACCTCACAGAAAAGTTTGGTTTTTGTGCAATGTCTCGCTTTTTTGAAGCTTGCAAAATTGAATTATAGTCTCGCTAGAAACGTGAAATTTTCAGTAGACAAAGCCTCAAGTTTTGTCTTGACACGAGAAGGCAAACAAGCTAATTGTATAAAACCATATAAAAGAAAACAACTTTCCCATACACTTTCTTTTATCTCCTCTATTTTCCTTCCATTAACGAATCCGATTTTCCGGGAGTTTTCCGTCCGGCCGGATACGCCGCCGGGCCTTCTCGTCAATGGTACCGGCAACGGCACGTGACCGATATCGGTACCCGTATCTTCGTATTCTTCTTCTTCTTCTGTACTTTTTTTTCGCGAACGCGACGACTGGTTTCCTTTTCTTTTCGGCTCCGAGGAAAAGTCCGGTTTATTTATAGCGGCCATTCAAGGATCGCACAAGTGCGTGCGTGTGCGTGCGTGGAAATAACAGCACCTGTTGGTGCCGGTATGATTGTCGATGCTAATTGAAATGATCGATATGAGTTACTATAGAAGAATAAGTTTTGTATAAATGTATAAAACATTTTTACTCAATATCAAACGATAGGTATTTGTTAACTGTTTACCCAAAAGTTATTAACATAAAGCCTCAATTACACGTGCAACATTAAAATTATCATTGAGGTTTCTTATGCAAATTTCCTTACTTAGCGATGGTTCGAAATTGAGGCGACTTGAACGATTTACGATCGAAATATTCGAACGCCCTGTGCGTTAAAAATCAACTTTTCGACAGATTAATATCATTACAGCGCGCAAGAAACGTAATTATCGTTATTATCCGGGTTATTATGATTTAATTCCCCTTGTAATTAAGACGTAAAGTCACTTGGCATGCGTTATTATCGTTTTTTATTTTAATACTTGCGCTCCTCGGTCTCCGCTTAATTATATTACGTTTTCCATGGCATCATAAAAGAGTTGATTTACGACGGTGATGTTTAGTTTATTAGGAACTGTAGATGATAATTAATAAAATTATTAAATGCGCTACGAATTTTTACAACTGCTAGTGGAGCTATAAGGAAACGCAAGGAATTCCTGCTATGTAAATTGTAGCTATTACATACTATTCCTATAAGATTAATATCGACTAAAATTAGAAAGGAATAAGTTGTAGCTATCAAAAAAAACGAATTTATTGTTTAAACTTGGTAATTGAATCGAATTTATAACAAAAAATTCGTTACCTTAATTAATCGCTTTTAACGACTACACGGCTCATTAACCGTATAATCGAAGGAACACGAATTTTTCCACGATGTTTGTATGCAAAGCTATCGCGCCATTCATAATGAAATTTTACATAAAAAAGCCGTTAGAAATAAATTCTCGTCTGTCGTTTGAAAATGTTTTAATTCGCTTAAATTGCTCTCATTATCTCCGGATAATTTTTTCTAATCGTTTCGCAAGAACGAAGTAAATTGTGTTTTTAATAATCCAAACTAACAGTAGGTAATGAAAATAGTTTCCTAAATTTTAGTAGTTAGTATACTACAGAGGCAATAGTGATGTTAAAAAATATCTAATTGAAACTAACGAGGCAATTAGCATCGATCAATCGGCGCGTACACGACAAATTCAACACGGTCACGGTCACTAATGCACTTAAACGTTAGAAATATAAAAAAAATCGAAAAATTCCTTGAGTGATGATTTGCAAGATCCGACTTTTTTTCGCCATTAGGCGCTAATGGTAGCGGAAAATGGCCGAGCGCGAAATAAAAGAAATGGAATATGTTCCCTCGATGGCCATCTGTTCGGCCGATTCCCATCTAACTGTGCTCTTTGAGCAGCCTCTTCTTCGAGCCATCTTACCTATGATTGCCTTTCCTGTGCTCAAAACACTGACAAATCGACATGAAGACGTTGACCTGCCGCAACAAATCTATAATTTTACTAATTTATTTCGTCTTTAGAAGCTCCTCTAATCAATTATTTACACCTAACTAGTTAGAACGAAATGTTAATAACAACTCCACTAATTAGTTTACCCGAAAACAAACAGGTATAGTAAATAAACATTTCAATCGGTTATATAACGTATTTAAAAACGGTTAACGAATGGTTGAAAAATAATAGTTATTTTAGCGTGCTCGAAGAGGATATGCCGCCGTGATTTCAACTCCCTAATGAGTGTAGAAAAATAACAACGGTGTCGACACGGTTTGCTTGAGTACGAATAAGCGGCATTTGGGGCTTTGTAGTGGAATTGAGTGTTACTTGATAAGGCGAATGCGTTTAATAGTTATCTCGAGCAGAAGCTAAAATATAATTGGAAATTGTAAGGGGATTGCGAAACAGTGCCGATTTCCAGTAAAACTAGTTTAGAAGGAAAATAAATTCGAACAATTTTATCAGAAATTTTCGAAGTTGTATTAGCAATTTCGATGTAGAACCCAAGTAGATGTTCGATGTAGATGTTCGATGTAGAAAAACACTTTTGTATCGAATAATACTTGTACCTACTTTATTAAATTCGAGCTTGAGATAAGAATTTTTATTTAGGTACATCAAGAAATTCAACTCCTCTCTAATGACCCGGAATTAAAATAACGTAAAAGTTTTTTTATAGTACGCTAAATTCCTTAAATGTAAGAAACTTCAACTGGCGTCTTTAATTCGTCTCCGACGATAAATTAGAACCTAATTATATTTAATAAAAAAAAGTATTTCACACAAGTTTAAATGCAAATTAGGTTCGCCCGGAGAACATATAAAAAAATACCTGGTCGAAGTAATATAAAACCGTTTCCGAATTTTTCTCTCGACGAAAATTACCATAATCTAGATAATACCGCGAACACGCATTTATATTTACGGTAATTCCAGCGCTCTAGAACATCCAAAAAACGCTTCCAGTATAAACGGATGTTTCGCCTAATGTATTTTTAAACATTCCTAAAAAAGCAACATCTTAATGACACATAATACGACCGTTATTAACTAAAAATTGTGCTTTTAAAAAGACGATTACACACGGTACATTAGACGAAATTGCCCAACATCTTACTCTATTCACCTGTAAAATACTTCTTTCTTCGCATGCACATCTACTATTATCATCATCATACAGTATACCAAAAAAGTATTCGTACACTCGTATTATAATCATTATACGTGTAATTACCCGTTTAATAAATATACAAATGAAAAAACAATTAACAGGCATATTTGGCTCCATTCGATCCAAAAATGTTATACTTACTCTCATCTGACAATATAACCTGGTTCCAGAACTCTAAACGTTTATTAATGTAACGCTTAGCAAACTCCACTCTTAGCTTTCGATTTTTCTTATTTATCCTTGGCTTTTAGCAGGTCTTCTTCCTCTATATTCTAATCGCTTAATGTGGTATCGAAGAGTTTCCGGATGGATCTTATGCCATGTACTGGATTCCAGTTCAGAAACGATGTATGGAGCACTTACAAAGGGAATTTTTTTAACTTTTTGATAAATGAAATTCTGATCTCGTTGAGTTATCTTGGCAGTACCTCCCGATCTTGACTTATTTTCCACGGAACCAGTAGATTTATATTTTTTCACAATGTACTGAACTGTAATATGTGTTTTTTGAACAATTTTACCTATCTCCTTATAATATTTTCCTTCTAGAAAATGATGGATGATGACTTTTTTATGTCACCATCTATTTCTTCAGTTTTTCTAGGCATTTTAAGGTAAACTTGAATTATTTTGAAAACAGAACTAGGAGCTCAACCTAATACTAATATACCGGCGAAAACAATAAACAATTTAATATCTACAGAGTGAAGAAATTGATAAAACGTTGCTGTACGAATACTTATTTTGGGGATAATGCAAACATTTTTCGTTTTTTTTTATTTTACATTTTTAATAACAATGTTAATTAATGATTGCAAGAATAGTCTTGAAATGTAGATTTTAATTTGCTAGTTACTTCTTGTTTCTGTTTACTGAACGCGGACTTCCAGAACATAATGCAACTGTACGAATACTTTTTTGGTCTACTGTATCTGGTTTGATCTCGAATCCAACGAAAATTAGGCAATAGCGATCGGATTATTCAACAATTAAATTTCCTATCCACCACAAAAAACCAGTAATTAACCGCTTCATCAATCACCGATCTTCTTAATTCACGCGTCTCACCCAGGGATCATTTCTCAAGCGAGCCATCATCCATCAATATTGTCGCTATTAGCAAGGCACTACAAGTGCCAAATGGTCGCCTGTAATTCGATATGACATATCTTTCGGATCGAACATGTCGGAATCATTAAGGAAACATGCACTTTGGCTCCGGCTCGATTGGATTGCCGCACGCTCTTAGTAGGCGTATCGCTTACGTTGGACAAAAGATGTCCAAGATCGGTATCGAGATGTGTGATGTATGGAGAAAATGACTGGGTTCCTTCGATGGAATATTTCTTCGGCGTTTGATTTGATCCATCATTGTAATTATCGTAGGGGTTAAATCTAGTAAATATAGCCAAAGTAGTGGTGATAGAGCTCAAAATTAGTGTATTGTACTATTTAAAATTTGTACCAATAGTATAAGAAATATTAAATTTATATGGAGAAAATTACTGGTTTTATTCAATGGAATATTCCTAGGAACCTTTAATGATGCAATATTAGGGTTAAATTAGTAAGTACAGGGTGAGCCAAAATATTAGAGGTAGAGGTTAAAATAAATTCATTGCACCATCATCTAATCTAAAATATGCAAATATACAAACAGTAGATAGGTACAGGAAATATACTGCTCCACAAAAGTTAAGGAAGTTCACAAATATTGCGACTAATTTAAAAGTTTCAGGTTTTTTGATCGCCAAATTTAGTATGAGTTGTAGAGGTAGGAACAAAAATTCTTCTTAGATATGAAAGAAAACATTTAATTTCGCATATTTGAAAATTTAGTGATCAAAAAGTCTGCAACTTTTAAAATAATCGCAAATTTGCGAACTTCCTTAACTTTTGTGGAGCAGTTTATTTAACATGCACGTAGAAAATATCTGGATTGATTAGATAAAATATTTATTTGATCTTTTGATGAAGCGATGACTTTATTGATCATTCCATTAAATGAGTAAATACAGGGTGAACCAAAGAGTACAACTAGAGATGAAAACAAATTCATTGAACCATTTTCAACCTACTACACTATTTCTATTAATATTGGTCTATGTATAAGGAATCTTATAGAGGAATACATTCCACCTGTTTATTTAGAAATACTAATATTGATGCAATATACATTCTGAGATTGTGGTGCATCGTATGCGATTCATCAAATTCCGATCGATATGGGGCCTAATAACAACATCGATTGAATAAATCTATATACGTGAAATAAAAGCGATATAAATCAAAACCTGTTGCATCGATCCTTTCCAGTCAATTAGTCAGATGGAAAGACCGTGGAATTAATAAAGTTCTGTCGATCTCCAAGAGCGTTACTTGAAATATTAAGAGCCTATAATATATTCCCTATAATTATTCAAAAAATTTTCAAATATTAAAACCTTGTGCGGAAGTACAGCTACTTTATTTTCCACTGTCCACATGGCTTATGCTCAGGCTTTCGTTGGTTTTCGATGATGAGATATTGAAATTAATGAAGTAATTGTAGAGATTTCTAAGCGGGCTTTTTATGTCGAACTCTAATAAATGCGGCAGGTGTTTGAATAAATGCATTCGCTTGTCAGGTGATCATTTTTTCGCGAGTTTCGCGTTGGTTAATTGACTTCTGCCGATTTAAAATGTGATTAATGGTTAGTATAAAAAGTGAAAAATCGTCTGAAGACCGAAAATGATGCGTGAATAATTAAATATCTACATAACACGAACTAAAAAGAGTTACATTGGACGCGAGAAAGTAACCTTTTTAAACGAATTAATCGCTAGAAAATTCTCTAAAAATTATACCTACTTATCTAATTACGTCTGATGCTAATGCACGTTGAAATTCACACTGTTATATTATTAATTAACTCGGTTTTTAATCGACAATAATCGACGTAAGGTTTAAATGAAACTAAACGACAAAATTATTCCTATACTGAAATTATTGAAACGACCGCGAAACACGAAATAGTGCCATTAAAACCTATGCCCATCATGTACGTTTTGAATTAGATTATTTTAAACGTTTTCTCATGTAAAATTATACCTAATTATATAGAAAATCGGTTAATTAAATAACTGAATCGCTTAACTGCGATGTCTTCATTAAACGAATGTTATCACGGCTTTCTTGTTCTTTCAGCCGAATAGAAAATCAGACGTATTTGAATGAGGCGTGTAGGATTTCTCGACTCTTCCTTTTTTGAAGGTTAATAGACTATTTTATTATTGAAATATTCGGGTTATTAATGAAATGTTTACATACCTCAGGAGCTGTTGGTGATAAGGGCACCGCCGGTCTCGGAGCCCCTGTGCACCTGTTGAGGTCCGACCGACAATCGTCCTGCAAAGGAAGAATTATCCTTAATTAAAGAAATTATTTAAAATATAGTACATGTGAAGCAAACGAATAGTTAGCGAATTTATAGGAAAATATGATTGTATTCGCTTTCAAATAAAATTGATCCGTTTGTCCTTTGAAAAAATCGCATTATTCTTTTGATGGGAATCCCAGCATACGGAAGTTGGAAAAAATAATATGTACTTTTCATTTAGCTCGAGGCCATTAAAAAAAGCTACAACCAATTATTGTACAGGAAACTTATCAATAACAATATAAAACATATCATTTTTTACATAAGCTTAAACTAAATACGAGGGCGTTGCGAAGAATTTAGGGAATTCCACATATAGCAAAAACTCTTCAACTCACACATCATTTCTTATTTTAAATAGATTGTATCGCACGAAAATATTTTGTAATGCAATTGTTGAACTTTCCTTTGTTTATTTTGATCCTGTTGCAAGTGATCTATATAGCTTCACATAGAAAATAGCCGATGCACCAGATAAAAAAAATGCGGGCTGACATTCAATACAAAAATCAATTAACATTCCCCGTCGAAGAAATGTCAAAAGTCGATAAATATCGTTGCCCGCGCACGGTTAGGCATCGATAATTTCTTCATTTAGAATGTTTATTGAATATCCCTCGTAGTTAAGTAATGCTAAAGTGCAGATACGAATCGGGAAATAAATTGCAAGAGCGTTTTATGAATTGCTGATGATTGAATTACTCGAGTTATCTGATTTCTTGAATAACTCAATGTTATTATTATTACGACTCTATCAATCCTGTTGTATAATAAGGTGAGGCAGAAATGTCATCGTAGATTAATCCAATTTTTTTTAAATTCTATTAAAACACTTGTACGTTATTCAAACTATTTAATTTATTACAATACCTCTACTATGTTTGACCAGAATTGTAAATTATAGTTTCAATTACCTACAGTTTTCCAAGTGAGCAGGCAAATGTATATTATACCTGGATATGTTTCATTTTCCTATTAATATAAAAGTTAAGCTGCAAAATTTGATAGTTTTATGTCATATTATTTTATTTCGGTTTTGTAAACTTATCAATCTACTCTTTTCTGAATATATATTTAAAAAACTAAACAAAATTTACAATGTTTATTAGGTAAGATTTAAACGACAAAAATATGGAAATAAATACATTTTTTCGTTTAAAATATTTGCCATTTTTCTCTCATTTTAATAGCGCAATAAGAAGGCTTAAAAAAGTAAAATTAAAGCGATTATTTTATAACTTTTCGGTTTAAAATTTAACAATTAGCGTTATTCGAGCGAAGTTATGAGATTTTTATGCAATTGAACTTTCTACTTTTTGTTTTTAATATTTTCATCGCATTAACTTTAGGCGTGGGTCTCAGTAAACAACGCACATAAATACTTGAATTTATATAATTATTTTTAATTATGATATGCGTTTTGTCGTAAGGCACTAATTTTATATATCAATAATTTTAATAAATAATATAATAAATATGACGGTGAAATCCCGGGTAAATGCTTTCGTAATTATTTAAATTCAGACCTAAAACTGCATGCTTTTATCGTAAAAATTTTATTAATATCGCAAATTTAATTAACAAAACATTTAATTAATGTAATTCCACGATGAGTATATGTAGTTATTAAGTAGTGTTGACGGCTTAATAGCCCGAAAATTACACCTAATTCTTCTATTTTCATTCGTGCTTTTCCAATTTTAACGTCACATCGCCTCAGATGCCATATTTAACATATCTCATATCAAATTGCCGCGTTCTTTCAATGCCTATATCTTCACGCCTTTCAAAACAGAAGAACTAACGGTTTATTTATCGAATAAAAATAAAAAAAAAACATCATCCCGTCCTGTAAGGAGCTAATAATAGATGAAAAGCATGCTCGAAAATGAATACACACACACATCAAACCGAAACCAGAAAATAAATGAGATGATTTTGTTCGGAAACCCGCATACTGACAACCCAAATTGCCCGTGTCGGATTTGATTAATTTTTTATCGAACAGGTACTTCTGAAACTACTCATAATAAGCACCAAATGTAGGTGAAGGATCACCTAAAGGCCGCGTGATTAGAGCGATTTCGGAAGAACTGGCCCGTACTACTTCCAGATTCGGTTCCCATTGATTTTTCTCACACACGCAATTTAATTAATTATTAGTTAACAAAAAAATAGATTAGATATTTACCTAATATGTTCGTTCGATTTAGTTGATTAATTTATTAATACATCAAAATATTTAGGTTATAATAAAACGCGCGAATCCGTTCCTGGGCATTTGATTGTCCATAAATAACAAAGTCTATATTGAATCTCAACTTCGGTATTGGCGTAATTATGAAAGTAAACAATAATTTCGCGTATAAATCAAAGGAACGCTTGAGGTGAATATATGGAGAGAGATATTATCGTCTACAGGGGGTCGGGAAAATGGCGTTTTCGACATAATCAGATTGACTCGATGAATGGCTTAATCAAGCCAGTAAATGTTTCAAACTGCGTCAAAATTGAACAGTAATTAGAGATTTATATCACATACAAAATGGCACGTATCGAATTTGTGAAGTTTAAATACAGCGGTTTATTATTTGGAAATATTGCACAGAATTATGGTTTACTCTGTTGTATTCTCCTATGCACTTTTCTACTATATTTTACTCTACCTATACATACTCTTATCTATTCCACTCTACTCTACTCTTAATTTTTTTGTCTGCTTTAAACATTTACATTTAACGCCCAATTTTCCATCATTTGTACACCAAAAAAGTACCTACCATATAAAATTGATTGAAATAATCTAAAAAATGGTGTTTTAGAAGTTCAATTTGAACAAAAATTTTACAAGAAAAATCCCTTTCACAGACAATACCTACACGAATTATTCTCGCTCTCCGGGTTTACTTGAGTTTTAACATAAAAACGCATTCGCATCCGACAAGAGAGAAACATGTCAACAGCATGTACATGTGTAGTGTAGTTATCTTTTAAAACAAACAAGATTTTTTTAGGACGAACGTGCATGCATCTCGAGTAACGCAGTAAGCCGCGCTTATCTTTACGGCTGGCTAGATGTTGATAAACGCAGCGCTCGCTTGTTTCCTCATTGTCGTTTCATTTCGGCGGAGATAATGGTAATGATAATGATAATGATGAAGCGCGTGTGTGGTTTATTTGCCATTCGCGCCAGGTGGTTTTTATTTTATTGTATTTCGAGAAATTGCGTTTTATCTCCGATGAGATGAGATGAGAATCTGGCGTTTTTGGTTTCGTTTATTTTCTTCGAAATAAGGCTAGATTTATTTCTTTCAAGAATATCTCAATTGTAGCTAGAATTTGAATTGACGTTAGAGGTCTTGCTGTATTTTCTCTTCGTTAAAAATCATGACTGTAATTTTATTGATGTTCTCTACACGCCTCATTTTGCATGTATTAGGAAGGTGTATTTTACGAAATTACTACTAATTGGTTTATTTATTGCGTTTGCTTCGATGCTTTTTGGAACTTGTTTCTTTCGAAATGTTGCTGAAGGAAATCGTAAAAATAAAAATTTATATACATATAGATATAATAACACAAAAGGCGAAGAATAAGAAATTTCCTCTATTATTACCGGCAACGCAGACAATAGTTTCAAATCGCCATTAACAAAAGCCATTATTATGCTCGCATATACACATTCAAAACCGTAAAATTAATGAACACCCTTTTTCGAGTTTCACTTTTAAAATAGGCCAACTATTGGCTTTATGTGAAACTCTCCATTTCGCATAAATACTGGCTCAATAAAAAAATTGACAACAGAAATAAACGGATGCTTCACTATAGGATAGTTAACTAATAACCCAATAAATTATCCATCGAGTTTTCTCCATTGAATCGTTCACAAAAATCACCGGAAAATCAATAACGTGCAATTACGTACGTACACAACTCCTAATCGCATGATTTATTTATTACGTTCGGAGTATGTAGGACGAAGAACGAAAACTATAAAACAATTTCTTCGACACCTCTAACCGATGTCGGTATTGATTTTAAATCAGCTTCTCTATAATTAACTAGGCACTGTAGATATACTTTAATTTCGAATCGTAATTACGTCGAAAATTATCTATTAATTATAATTAAGGTGGTTTTTGAGTCCGGTATAATTAGAGGAAATTTTTGGTTGTCCATTCAACAACCTGTAATTTTCGATACGTCGAATCAAATTGTTGTATTTGAAGATTTATTAAATGTTAGAGAGATATTTCGCAAAATTTACGGTATACCTAAAATACCAATTTCTATAGTAAGAAATGTATTTAAACATAATAAAATATTACCTATATTCGATGTAATTATGCAGATTCTATGTGTTAAATTCAATTATATATCGGCGTTTATTTCGATTTAAACTAAATATAAAAAATAACATCCGCTTCATTATCCCACATTTTCCAATCGCTATATACGAGATTTAATATTAATACATATAGAAACAAGTAATTGCAAAATAATTACTTGAGCGAAATTACTATGCAAATTAAACATATCTGTTTAATTAAATTATTCGTTCGTGAGGCTAAGCAAGTTTATTTAAACATTGCAAACGTACGAAAACAGTAAAGGTGTAGGGAAAATTATTATCCTATTTAAACTGCTGCAGAAAAAAGTTAATGCATTTTTATGTGTGTCATGATATTTTCTCTCATCGGTACGGCTTCCAATCAATCACGATCGATAGTTATAATTTCACGAATAAATAAATAAATCCCATCCAATAAATTAAGAAAGCGATCGTTCTGGTATACATGCAATTTATACGGGCCCAGTCACCAAAAGTTCAGGTAAGATTAGAGACGTGACATAATTTACTACCCACACTTTCTAATAACATAATAAATTATCGCGTATTATCGAAACGTTTAAAACGCATAATTAATATTTATTAAATTAAACTTTTTTACAGGGTGATTTAGGC